AAACGTTTCACAACAACCATTACTACAAATTACAAATTCAAAGTTCTAGGTAGTCTAGATTGTTATGATTTTTAAGCATGGCTTGTAATTTTGGATCCCAATGAAAGTTGACGACTAGATAAACATACTGTTTTAATATAGAATACGTGCATGTTATGGACATCTGAAAACACATCTTCACTAAGAACATAGAAATAAAAAACACAAACATCCTAAGCAAATGAATAAATCCTTAGGCAATACATGTAGTACATTAAAACAAAAGTACATCCCAACATGTTTCACAGCTTTGTATCTCCTTTACAAAAGAAATTTTGCTACAGATCAAGGCTTATATTTATTACCCTATTCCCAAACTTTTCTAAGGAACATCAAGTCAGTTTTTTTTTTCCTATTTCTTCTGTTAAATGTTTTGTCTGCACCTTATGGGAGAGATTGTGAATGTCAAGATACATATAAACCAGGGATTTTTCACTTGGATAAAAAGTAGAAAACCAATCATAATATCTGATAAGCTGGTAAGGGGAAAAAAAGTAATTTTCTTCAATCATTCTGGATATATCATTTTTTTAGATGTCAGTTTTCAAGGTCTTCTTTCTAAGTGATTTCTAACACCAGACTTAACACCTTACTAACATTAGAAGTCTGATATATCTGTAATTTCCCAGGTATCTTATTTTCTGTTTAACAGAGATCAAAAAACAATTGCAGATAACTTCTTCAGTATTCAGCAATCAATGATATCTTCTGTCCTTGTCAACATCCTTGGTAAAAGTTATTAAATACACTAAGAATGATCTTTTCATTGATTAGGATCTATTGAAAGTTCACAGTTATCCTCAATGTTTCTTTTGTAGTTCACATAAGGATAAAATCTGTTAAGTCATATTTAAAGATTTGAACTAACTCTTCTCTATCATCAACAAATGAAAATTTGTAATATCTGTTAGGCCTACAATCTACATCAGTCCTTTATTTTTCTTGAATCATTACTAATTTTATATTGTGTCTTGAATTGGCAGAGATGTATATGTAAGTCAGTCTGTCTTCATCCCATGGTATACTGAACCAAAAGAAATAATTTAGGAACAGAAAGTTACTACCTTTATAAATGTGTAGAATAAGATTATTCATTAAAAACCAACAGTCAGTTTTAAAAATATTTTTATTGACACTATAACAGTTGGAAACTTGTTATACAAAATGTTATAAACATTGAGACTATGAACAATTGTGTTTAAAGTATTTGTAGGTTCAACAGAACTTGAAAATGAACAGCTAAGTAACAACTGAACCATTTTATTAATTTTTTAAGTATAGTTATTAAAACAATTCAGGATTTGTACTAGTTATATAAAGCTGCTTATGAAGTTGTATAAGATAGATTACAAAGTATTACATGTGAGAAAAACTCGCTACAACACTTAAATCCCTTACCTTTTCCACATATATTAATCCCAAACTCTCACCTAGCTTCGGTTATAAACTCCCGTAACCTGTTGTTTTGAGCTGAAGACAAAGTATAACCTACTTGATAAACACTTGCTATTATATAGCACAGATACATATAGGTGTATAATGTAGGACAGTGACTGTTTTTACTACTTTAACCTATTTTTCACGGCACTTAGTTGATTTTGAAAAACTGGTTTGTGCTGATATGAAATTCAGAGAGGATGCGGCAGCTTGACTTGCTTGTTTGATTCATGGATATTGTTCTTTGATATAAAAAGTATGATGCACATGTAGTGGTGGAGAAACAGGGAAGACTTTGTTATTATGCTGGATGAATGCTGAAATTGGTTTAGGAGAACTCGCACGAGTCATGGATCATTGGTAAAAAATATTATTCTGATGTTACTATTTAAATTTTATGTTATAAAACAAATAGCTTTCAGAAGCATTATTATAACTTAATAATAGATAATAGTTTCTTATCTTTTTGGTTAAGGAAAATGTTAACTTGACAAAAGGTCATGTAGACTACACAGGTCATCCACCTGTATTCCAATTGAGGCCTAACTAGTGATATGTATATAGATAATTACTTTTAACTGGTAATTAATATGTCTATAAATACACCAATTGACACTTGTGTGAATTATCCAGTATTATTCCTAGATCCTTTTCTTCAGTCATGTTATTAAGTGGGTTTCTATCTATATTAAATATTTCGACCAAACTATAACCCAAATTCATGTATTACTTTGTGTTTCTTATAATCAAAATTCTAATGAAACGAATAAATATTATCAATATCAGTAATTTTATTGTGTTTTTTAAGTAGTGAATACTTTAATACTTTTATGAAACAGCTATGTACATGTATCCCGTATATAATTCATCATGGTTTTAATATACGTATATGTGTATATTATGTATTTTACAGCTGCTAATTGCTTTTGTATATAGCAAGAAAAATATTTAATTGTTCGTTTAAAGCACTATACTTGGAAAGTTTAAATCATCAGCGAGACAGTGAAATTTTAATTGTTTTGTACAACATAGCTTATCATAGATTTATCGCAATAAGTTTTGAACAATACAGATTTTTCAGTGGGAAAAAGCTATTATTACCAGTGTTATAAATGGTTACCCTTTCAGACCTTATACCTGAAGCTTATTGTAAATAACAGGTTTTTTTATTTGGTATGTTTCCTTAGGTTAACATAGGAGTGAGTTACAATTTTTTTGGCTAAAATATGTACTTGTAAATATAATAACAATAGTGATATTTTGTAATAGAAAGAAGGGAAAACAAAAAGGAAATATGTTAGTATAATTCAGTGAACACTGTAAGACAACTGTTATAAGATTACAAAAAAAAATTATTATTCAAGTGGAGCCAAGAATGTGAATGACATTGATATCCTTTTAATGAGGAAATAATATAAAGATTACAAGTAAACACTTCTGATTTCAAGATTATCATCGTAATCCTCATTGAGGCACTTTTTACCAGTTTTCTAAAATTAATCTGTTGTAACCTATAACAGTACGGATGTTTGTAAGTTATAACAGTACTTAATTACAAACAATCATTCTTTAAACAAACATAACTTATATATTTTCATTGATTTTGCAAAACCTTAAGGACGTATAAAACTGAAGCTTTTCAAAATATGCACACATCACGTATGTAGTCGCTAAAGTAAATATACACAATTTTGATTTTTCATAATTTAGAGCACGTACGTTTTCGCTGAATCTTTCATAAACTTTTGTTTGTATATAATTCTCATGATTTATGTTATTATGTTTTATGTGTGTAGATAACCACTGACTGTCGCAAATATATTTATAAAAGCTAACTGGAAAATGATAAAACCCCTTGTAAATTATCAAGAATTTGTTATGAATTTCAATGCAGAAGAAATTTGCATTTTACACATTAAAACTATCGTTTCTTACACTTTCTATGGTACTCAAATATTAATAATCCTAGCTGACTCTTTTATACATAGCAACATTATAAAGTTTTTCCTTTGAAATTTTTATTTGTTACTCTTTTAAACCTAGTTCACTGAATAGTCTTGCGAAGACTTAGAACACTTACTACTAAAGCAGATGAGCAAGTCGAAAAGTGAGCAATATATATATTTTTTCTTTTTTCAGTATTTCAAGTTATTTATAAGGCACAAACTGAAAAATTAGCAACCAAAGCATCAATTTACTTACGATCTAAGCATAAAAAGAGGTGTATTTGTTTAAAGGAACCGCGTTGAAACTGCAATTTAATGAAATTTTCTTTGCTGAAATTTAGTGAATTGGGACTTGTGTGCATAAATACTAAAACTGTCATTTGAAAGATTAGTTTGATACAAGAAAGAGTAAATTCTAGGTAGATCAATTGCTATATTTCTATTATCTGATCTAATCAATTTACAAACGCTCTTTTTACACTGATATAAAGAAAATCCATTAAGTCTGAAATTATATGTCCATAAACGTCCATTTTCCGTAGTATGTTTAAATGACAGAGTTACATTATCTCTACCAATCGTAAAAGTTACAACAGTTACGTTGAAGTTTGTAGGTCAATATTTCTAAATTTTTGCTGCCTTTAATCTTAAAAAAACACAGTATAAAACTTAAATCTTGAAATTATGGTTTGTTAAATTTTTCGAAATGGGTCAGCAATTAAAAACAAAACTAAAAAATACCAATAAAGGAATCGAACCCCTGATGTTAGCGTTGTAAATTAGAAGACTTAACGCTCTCCCACCGGAGGACTTTTAGTTATGCTCTTATTTTACGACTGACACATTATAATCAAATACGTCTTGTTTTTTTTTTTAACAGCTTTAGTAAAATGATAATAATAATCGTGTCGTTTTTGGTCGTTATCTGTAAAAGAGTTTAGAAGTATCAATGAATTAGCAGCGATATTATGCAGTTTCTGTTTTTTCCACTTCGTTTATTTAATACCTCCTAGGTCCCCCGGTGGAACAGCGGTGAGTCTATGGACTTACAATCTAAAATTCGGGTTCGATTCCCATGCAGTGGACACAGCAGATGCCCCAATATGGCTTTGCTCTAAAACAAACAAATAAACAAGTATTTCCTAGTGATATGCTACAGAAATTAAAATAGGTGGTCAGTTTTGTGAGCATGTAACTTTTTACTTGAGTTTTCAGCGTTGCTATTAATAACTGAGGTCATATAAATTTGTTATTTTGGGTAATTCAAACTTCTTGCGGCTTATTTCAAAACTTAAAAAACGATTTAAATATGCCAGTTAGAAGATTTTATATTATATGGATATCTCTTACCTTACCAAACTGAATGACGACTTAATACTTTTAATGAATAGCTTGTTAACCGTTCATTTGTGTATAAAAATGCCGATTGCACCCCTCATGCTGGTTCGTTGAAAAAAATTATATTATTTCGCTATGGTATAGGTAAATGAATATTCTCAGACAGAAAATAAGAAAATAAGTTAGAAAATAAGTAGCTCGGAGATATAAAGCATTATGTAAAAATTTTTAATTATTGACCTGTGAAGAATATACTTAGACTGTAAATAGTCTAACGCCATGGCCACCTCACACAGATACAAACACACTCTGGCTTCATCAAAATTGCCCTCTTGATGGATGTGGTAGCGCAGGTCACCTCCCAACAGAAGATCTACCACCATAAACATGTCCTCTTCGTCCTGAAATCAACAACAGTTAGCTATATTGTACATAGATTAAATTATACGTTGATCAAAAAGTGAGATGAATACTGGAAAACAGAAACACTTTCTTTAAAAAAAAACAGTACATAATTTTGGTCTTTACTTAAAAACAAAGTTCGAGCCTTACTTTATCGGGGGCTCCCTCTAAGGTGAGCAAAATCTTCTGCTACAAATAGTAAGTAAAAATTCACTAAACATTCAGCTGATTATCAGATACTTTATATTTATAAAGACGTTCTATGCTTATAGATAATTACCGCTTATCTCATCTATTCAACTAAATATCACAAGTTTTTATAGACTCAAGGACAATGTTCATGAAACGTTTCCCGTTATGTCGTTGCTATATATATATTAGCCCCCTATTTTTCCTAATTGAATTTGAAAAGGAAAACTAGTTTTTAAGTACAGAGATAAATGAAGCAAATAAAACGAGTGGCAAATGTTTTAAGCCTTTTATCACAAAACATTTATTTTGTATTTATCGTGCATATATATATATATATATGTATAATTTTAATCTGAGAAAAGTTTCATTCAAGGCATCATAAGTATGTTATAGAGTAAAATTCCTTCTTGAAAATAAAACAGCGAATATAAATATTTACAACTTTTCTCAATCACTAAGGATTAATAAAACTCAAGATGTGAATTCTGTTAGTAGTTCAGGAAGCTCATTAAAACGTTTTAGAAAGACTACACTTCCCATCTTTACTAATAATATTATGTACCATGATTTAACAATAATACTTCAAAGTAATAAGAAATATACTAGCTCACTGAGTGAAAAAACAAACAGGACCGGCTATTATCAGTTCAGATAGGTCGATGATAAAGTGAATTTTATCTATAAGTTTATCAGTTTTGAAATCATCGATTTGAGATCGATAAACATCCAATAAATTCATAAGCATACGTATATGCAGTCAAAATATAAATATAATGGGCATGCATTAATAACTTAACTTTTCGTTACAAAAGCCAATAGTACAAACATTTTAAGAAATATTCTCAACTTTTACATGTTCGCACGAGTGCGATGACATTAAGTTTCAATACAATAGTACAAAACTTGAGGCAGTAGTTTGATACTTTAAGGCACAGATAAGAAGTAAGCAGATAAACTGTTATTTTTATATGTCCTTTTGAGCTCATCTTAATTTTTAATTTTCAAATTTAATTGCTGGTAAAAAGTGTTATGACTATTTTCCAAACATTTGAAATTATGTTATTCTTTGTTAACCTTTAATCTTATAATGTGCCTCCGTATTTCCTTTCTTACTGTTCTAATTTCATTGTATTTGATGAATGACGTTCCACAAGTAAAATGTACTGAAGTGTTGAAAAGCCGGCAAGAAAAGGATTACGTTAGTGTGGTGTTTTCAAGTGGCACTTAAGATTAACAATATTCAACAGAGTTTGCTCAGTAAAGAGAGCTAATACGCACAATGTTTCACACACACATTCAAAAGTTTTATTAGTTGTAAATGATAAAACAAACATGACGATAGTGAACCAAGACGTAGATTGGTCTTCAGAGATTGGTTGATTGGGTATTCGTTTGGAGACTTACAGATGTTTTCACTAAACAAACACCAAAGTGTTTCTGAGAGTTCTCCCCTCTACTTACAGTTAAACTACAATATTTATAATCTTTGAATTACCTACACTGTCTTTACTACTTCTCTATTTTCTCTTTGGTATTGCCATTTTTATATTCTGTCCACTTAACATTTTGTTTATAGTACTTTATTATGATGAAAGCAAAACAGGTACGGAGATCCTTTCCTCGTCACAAATTAACAGTTTAATATATGAAATCATTATAATATATAATTCACAATTATTTAACTATAAAATTGTAAAAAAACTGAATTAATCAGGTGGAAACTAGAGAGAAATAGAAACTTACACACACAAATATATATTGCTATGACGTTTGTGAAATTTCACACCTGAAGCTCTGATGATTATTTCATAATGGGTAGGTTAATCTCCAAAGCAACTGATGACTTTTTACTTTCAGCAAATGTTTTTCTCGTGATGTATTTGGCTTTCATTAGATTATTTTTTATTCTTGCCAATGTTGGTCAGATCTGGTGAAGATCCCATTCTGCCTTAGTCTGGTCTGCTTCACTGGAACCTTATTTTGGTGTAGTTGTAAGAAAATCCAGATATTTAGACTTGTAAGAGCCGAGCTTTGTCATTTTTGCACTGGTATAACAAGAAAATGATCATACGGAACATTGAACAAAACTAAGAAACTTTCACTATGATTTTCCTGCAGCTATATAAACAGACCAAAGAGTATCAACCAAATTTACTATTTTGCCGACTATTAACAATTGTAGTCAAGCTATTTGCTGTTGTAGAACCACTTAAGAGCCAGAAAACTCACTTCTGCTAATATCAAAACGGAAAATAACATTTTAGTAAAATTGGCCTGAATTAGTGCTTGTGCTGTTTAAGAACACAATCCCCTTACTGTATACCAGGGGTGTATGTGAAAGCCTGTTATCCCCTTACTGTATACCAGGGGTGTACGTGAAAGCCTGTTATCTCCTTACCGTATACCAGGGGTGTACGTGAAAGCCTGTTATCCCCTTACTGTATACCAGGGGTGTACGTGAAAGCCTGTTATCTCCTTACTGTATACCAGGGGTGTACGTGAAAGCCTGTTATCCCCTTACTGTATACCAGGGGTGTACGTGAAAGCCTGTTATCTCCTTACTGTATACCAGGGGTGTACATGAAAGCATGTTATTTCCTTAAGTATGTTCTTGAGTGTAGATATGACATAAAGTTACCCATACACATTCAAGTATTCCCCGGTGGCTTCTCATACAAACTATTAGACTGTTCAACAATAAATCATGACTGAGTGCTCAGAAAGCAAAGATTGAATCATTTCAACATTCATGCATGTGAGCTATCCTAGCTATCTTAGCTGTCAAAACCCAAAGTACTTTATCCAACATCACCAATCATATATTGTTATTTTGCTGGTCATCAGTCGGGTTGAGAGAGATAATTATACACAGTACCTTTGTTATCTTTTACAAATCAAAGCCATTTACCACTGCTTCCTGGTCCAGACTGCGGACAAGAAGTTTGTCACGCCTAAGTTTCAGTCACATGTCTGGCACTCGTTCAAATGTCTGACAGTGTCAATTATGGATCATCCAGACTTTGTATTGATTCTCCCGAAGCCAATAATTTCAGGTCTACTTTTATTAAAGACTTCAAGAAATAGTTCAAGTCCTGGTACATCTGATAATTGACAAGTGTATCTGTTTGTATTACTACCATTGCACTGTGGAGAAAAAGAGTATGACTGGTTCATCAAATACATAGCGACTAGGGTATCAATGTCATCAAAACATCAGCTGAATTTTGAACCTGCAAACTCCAGATTCGACAGAGTGTGAATCTTATGTTCTTGACTGATGGAACGACATACCACCAGAGTAGTAAGCACATTATCACCAGTTTCGCTCGCAATCTAGCCACTATATGACCTATGGCTTCAGCAGCCCGACTTTTATCTCCAAAGGCTTATAGCTGTACTAGTGGTTTCATTCTTCCCGAGAAACCTCCCGCTCATTTAGCAATGAAACAAACTTGTGATACTAGTAGAGACCTCCCCGTAAGGTCTCATAATAATCAGATTTAGCATCATCATAATCTCTCTGTCACTGTCTTCTCGCACTATTAACCGAAATGGTCAGCTGATCGAAGGTTTTAAGTTATGGTTCAGTAAGCTCCTTGACTTGAATTACAGTTCAACATATCATGCAAGGTTCAATAAAGTGCTAAAGAGCACTTCACATCTACGAGAGGGCTTCTCATGGATCAACATGGTTTTTCAACGTCGGCTTCACTGAATTAGCAGTTTCATCTTATCCATCATTTGCCCTTTATCTCGGAAATGGCATTTTTCTTCTGTGGGAGTTTTGAAATTAAGATAACACATGTACAGATGAAAAAGGATAGGTAGTACAACGTAAGCTCTGATCATAGGATCAAAATTATTCTTACCAACTCAGTCCTTTCAATTCTAAGGTGACACTTAAGACCAACATGTAAGCTTTTAAAAATCAATAACAGAAAGTTCAAAAATAAATTATTAGGATTTTAACCAAGATTTGCTCAACTACCAAAAAATAGAGACCACATTCAAGTTTTTGTTAAATAAAAACACTTTACTTCCTACAGTAACAAGGCACATGACAACAGTAGACTAAGACAAAGACTGTTCTACACAGTTTTCTTCCTAAGACATCAGTTATTATGCTCGATACTACGTGGAAATATTTTATCTGAAGAAGCACCAAGATGAACCTGATTGTTTTCGCTTTGCTTAGAATTAACTTGCAATATCAAAGCTCTATTTTAACTCTCATATTGCCTTTTCATCTACACTGCAGTCCGATTCTACACTGAGTTTATAACATTTCAGTTTTTTCTAGTGGCTGCTAAATAATTGGCCCACCCAGGCCATTTTAGGAAATCACCAATAATAATATACATACGGACAGGTAGAAACACCCTTGAATCAGAATTACGATGCATGTAAGTCCCTGGAATCATATTTAATGTCAATTAAAGTCTTGGACATCTGTTCAAGATGGAATGTTTAGCTAAGAAACTTTTACTAACATTTTGAAAACATTAACTGAATTTAATTTATTTAGATTCCATGTTGTAGAAGGATTTAGTTCATGATATTATCATATCATATTAGTTTTTACTCGTTTACAATACAATAAAGTAAGCGCTAGTACAGAGAACAAATGAAAGATAAGGGCTGAAATCTATTACAACTGGGTTGGGATATAATAAATTGAACAGTTAGTAAGCATGCTAACTACACAAATTATGTACCAATTACTCAGGAACTCTAAAAGATGGCAACGTAAAGAAAATACTTTTCTCACTAGTAAAACTATCTTCGCCAAGTAAATTGGCCAAGTTGTAAGCGTGTGATGTGGTCTGATTAGTACCATTTTCTGATAGTAGAATAAAATATGAAGAAATCCACTCGAGGCACTTGACTCTACTTGTGTTGTTCTGACAATGTAAGCTACAGGAAGTGGTGAAATGGTGTGGGGAGCGTTTTAGTGACAGGATTTATAAAGGTGAATAACATCCAGTGTAAACCTATCATTATCACTGATTATTCCGTTCCATCCTGACGAACAAGGATTCTTCTTTCAAGTAGATAATACAAAGCTCCAATGTGACTGTATTGTACAAACTGATTTAGAAAAGCACGATAATCACCTCACTCATCTACCTTGGCTAGCAGAGTCGCCAGATCTCAATCTCAAGTATCTTCGGCATAAACCTGAACGTCACATTCGCCGACATCTGTGAATCAATTGCAGAAGAATAAGCTAGAATTTGATACGACACACTCCTGCACCCTTGGCGGGTCTAGGCTATGCCGACTCCAGGTTATTATAGCGGCAAAAGGTGGTCCAGTCCGAATCTATATTTGGGGGAGGGGGTCTAATAAAGTGGTGAGTAGGAATAGTACGTAGTTCTAATCGGGCTCTTAAATCAGTTCATGAGCATAAGTATCGAATTCATTTCATGTGTCTCATCTTTGAAGAGGAAAAACAATAATGGAGACTCTAATTGTTGAAGCTTTTGATAACTCTGTAAAGGAATACATACGTTTCTAAAACAATTTTTATGTGAAGGAGTAAACTAAATGTGTGAATCTACACATATATTTCTACATATCTGATGAGAAAGAACATATCAAGTTTTAAAGTTTGTCTGTTGTTAAGCACAAGCCTACATAATGGGCTATTTAGGCTGTGCCAACCGGAAGAATCAAACCCCGATGTTTTAAAGATGCAATTTTTGAGTGAGTATACGACGTAGAAAACAATGAAAGCAAACTATGAAGACAGAAATATAGATGTCTGTCAAAGCTGTCTGCACTACTTGTTTTCCTAAAATGCCTGCCCTTAATTCAATTTTGTCTTTTATTTTCTTTGGTCTCATTTTTGCTGATCCCTCACTTGTCACGATGACAAACTGCCTTGTCTTTGATTACCACATCAAGCTCATCTATAGGCATTCCAAAAGCCGTTAACGTCCATCTAGATAATCTACGACATCTTTAAAATCCCAGTCACGTGACATAATACTTACTTCCCTGGCAAGCTCAATCCTAAAATCCTCCTCCTATTTCACAGCGACATGTAGCGGAAGCTACACTATTTTCAATCGATAAGTTCCGTTAGCCTCCTACCGAGGCCTACTTATTCATGACAGAGCTTAGAGGGAAGATAGGACGTGACGTCCCGTTAAGATTCTTTTCTAACAATAAAATCTGCTCTTAAAAACTCTCAGAAAAACTAGGGAACACTAGTTGGCAAAGTGGATCAGCACGAAAATAGATAAAGTAATAACAAACAAAAGAAGTGTTACACACAAATCTAAGGACATGACTGATGACTGATGTATCAACTTGTTATATAACCAGCGAAATAAATGTTTCGTGTATGTTACTGCCTAATAATTATAAGTTCATATGACATCATGAGTCAAAAGCATAATAACTTAAAATATGCAGTTTCAATTTGATTCCGAAATTGAAAATGTATTGTAGCAATCCTAAAGATAACCTCATTAAACTTCAAAACTGTTAAACCTCTGAAAAATTAGTGAAATATCTAGATTATTTATCGCTATTTCTTAGTCAGTTTGCGAGAAGAAAATTCAAATTTTCAAGAAATATTTAACCTTGAGAATCTCAGTAAAGAGAAAAACTATGTTTTAGAGCCACTAATGGTTTCGACACTGTTGAATAAAATCAGTTAAGACAGTCAGTTCGTTGTAGTGAAATTTATAAGCGACATCCCTAGTTAATTTTTATATTTCTCCAAGAATTGGGATATACTTTTATTTTTACCCTCAACAATGAACCAAGCAACTGAGTGTTGAGTTAAGAGTAGACCCGAGGCTATTAGTGTGGGAATTAAAAAAAAACGGTCACATGAAAATCTGGCCTATATTTATATAGATACCAATTTTAAATATCTAAAGCTACGATGAAGTGAATATTTATAACAGACATTCAAACAAGCAATTAATTTATGCCATAGAATGAGCATTTTGATTGTATCCAAAGAAGGAAACAACTGTATCTTGGTAATAGGATAAAATACACTTTTCACAGAAAGAGTGCGTTACAATTTTATTACTTTTACTGACACTTGTGTTAACAATTAAGCTTTACATTTTGTTCGCAGGAGCTTACTTGGAAGGTAAACCATAAATTCACCAAGAACGGATGTTCTAGACTAGAGAGTATCTCGATCTCTTGCAGTACGTTTCTGAACGCATCTTTAGTTATACATTGATCCTTGCTCATGTACTTCATAGCGTACATCGTCTTACTGTCCTTCTTCTGAACAATGCAAACCTGCTCGGAAACAAGAAATGTATTTATATACAGAATCGAAAAACAAAATCTCATTTTAACAACTTGCGCCTACCAAAAATTGCAAAAATATCCTGCATAGAAAACAAATAATGAAATTCATTGTTTCAAGTTTTTATTAAAAATCAATCGAAAAAATTGGATAATATTGTTTTTACATAAAAAGAATGTGTTCCACAATATATAGAAACTCGCTGGGGAGGTTTCTTACAAAATAACATGACGAAGAAATCTACCTGCAGTAATAAACTAATCATATAAAGCAGTACTAGAATTTATGTTTTCTTAAAACAAAACAAATTCGTTATGATTTATTAATATGTGCATATTTTTTTAAGTTGCAACTTTTATCTTAATAGTAGGAGAATGGAGCGTTAGGCTTAACAATTTTCCAAAATGTAAGCGCTCCAAGATAAGAGTATTTTTGAAATCGATAAATGTTTTTGTTATAAAAGATAGTGTATTTTTAGTTCTCTACATGTTATATTGCTTTTTTATCAAATCTCAATCTTCTGCATGTGATTATCATGCTTAAAAACTATATATATAAAATTCACTAAAAAAATACAATATTATTCTAAACACACACATACAAAATTACCTTAAAAGTTACTCTTATTTTGTCACAGATTTTTTTTTATTACTTTATACATTACTGAATCTAAAAATATTAAACTGATCTACGTTGGTAGGACTTTTAGATAGTTCTTATATCACTCAAAGTTCCTACTCATACACTGCACTATGCACATTAAATCTGCGGTGTGTGTGTAGTTCCTTCTCATACACTGCACTATACACATTAAATCTGCGGTGTTTGGGGTAAATTTTTTTTGACCAAGCACTAACATAACACAGTCATGATTTCTCCTTCAAATGTAATATTTTGTTAAACAACATTCGGATATTTATTATTTAAAACTGGAATTACAATTTTCAACCTGAACATCATCACCTTATGTGCATGTTGGCTATATTTGAATGTAAATTTAAAATTACTTGCAAGCAAAGCAATAATGATTCAAGTTTGTTAAAAAAGAAACAAGGAGGTTTAGAATAAAAGTTGTTTAACATCAAGTGCTGAATTTTATGATGTAGAAACTGGTGAAAAACAAGAGGGAATTCTCAATAGCCGCGGCACTTGAGGAGGCGGGCGCTGCGTCGTCATATCCAGCGGCGGTTGAGATGAAGAGGTCGATGAAGTTGGGTGAGTTGTACAGATGTACGAACGAGACAGGAAGATCCATATGTGCATTAAGTATGCTAAGTTTATTATAAATTACGTGGTTTTGGATTAAAATATTGTGCGTAACAGAGTAAATTTTGATGGTTTCCAAATTGAGTTCGTTTCTTAATATTGGAATAGATTATAGACCCTTTTCAGGGGGGCGAGGATCGTAGGTCCAATACCCGGAAGAAATTTAGGTGTGTGTGGGGGGGGGAGGCGAAGTGCCCGGAGAAAACCCACTTTCACAGGACAGACGCCGAATAATCTATCTATCCTGTGCCTTTACTGTAAGGCACATGATTAGTATTATACATGCATAGTGATTCACCCTTTGTGTGTTTGTGTTTTTATTATTAGTAGTAGTAGTTACTGTGTTCTTGTTGTCCGAATAGATTGTATAGTGAAGTGTGTTTGGTGGGAGCGCTTGAGATTTTATGTAGTGTTAATCTATTCTTAAGTGTAGGGGGGTTGCTTTGTGTATGTATTGTTCAGGGGTATATGTTGGAAGCCTTAGGGCTAATCTTATGGCTTTATTTTGCTGGATTTGAAGTTTTTTGAGATTATTTTTGGACATGTTATAGGTTTCTTGGCAGCCGTATTCTACGAGTGGGCGTACAAAGGTTTTGTATATTTTTAGGGAGGGTACGCAGTTTGAGTGTTTGCCTGCAATTAAGACATATGTTTGCTGATTGAGGCATGTATGTTCTGAATGTGTTTATTCCATGTTAATTTACTATCAAAGGTAATTCCTAGGAATTTAATATTGTTGCTGATATTTATTTGTGTTTCTCCTAACATTAATTTAATTTTCTTGAATGTAATCATATGTTTACGTAGTTTTCTGTAAAATACTATGGCTTGTGTTTTCGTTGGATTGAGTATCACTCGTCATTTGTTGCACCATTTGAGTATTAGTTCTAGTGTTTTTTGGATACGAGTTGTGGCAATGATAGGATTTCTGGATATACTCCAGACTGCAATATCATCGGCATATTGGGAGTAGTATGTGTATGTTAGTTCTGAGAAGGGAATATTATTGACAAATAGGATGTATAAGAGGGGCGAAAGGACTGATCCTTGCGGCACTCCTGCTGTAATGTTAAATGTTTTGGATCTTTAACTTTGGCTGATCGGTTTGTTAAGAAGTTTGAAATCCATCTGGTTATTGTATCGTTAATATTTTTTAGCATATGTAATTTATATTTTATGGCCTTGTGCCAGACACTGTCGAAAACTTTATTAACATCTAGAAATACGCCTAAGGTGGCTTGATTGTTATTGAATGTTTATATATTCATTTGGTTAATGTTATGAGGTGGTCTGTTGTTTGTTTGTTCTTTCTTGAAGTGTTTTGATATTCTGATAGGAGGTTGTTAGTTTCACAGAAGTATAACAGTCTGTTTCATATAATTTTTCCCATTAGCTTACCGAAGTAACTTATCAACCTAATGGGACGGAAGTTTATTCTCAACTTTAAATTATTTTTGGCAGGATTAGAATAAATTATTCTGTGAAACCATGGGCGTGGTCAAACACATCAATCGAAGGGGTCTATCCTCTTGAGTCGAAAAATGAAATTAATCTCAAATCGGTCAACAGATGACGGAGCTATGAGTTAAATGTTTGTGCTTGAAAAACTAAAAGCCATTCTATGAGCCGCTATTCCGCGGGTAAAAATTTGGTCTACATTTCAGAACTGTTACATTCATACCTTTCTTTTCTTCAACGTTTAGTAGAAAAAGGTTTTCCTTCTTAATAATAATGATCATTGTTACATAAATAGATAACTTACTGGTGTTTAGTTGCTAATTGTTAGGTTTTTGTTATTCACCTTAATTGGAGACGTCAATAGGAATACACAGGTAGATTAAATGAAACTGCAATCACTAAATCTTTGAAATAGGATAGTTTAACCTCAATAGAATGGACATTTCTTTACTTCTGTTTCTAAATCTTTACGAAATTTGATAGTTAATGAGGTCTTTTTGTTTTTTGATTGAAAGTACTACATACAAAAGAAACTGTACATTGGTATTGGTTTTGTAACAGTTCTTTGAAATCATGAGTGTTAGATATATACGACTGTTTCCGTTTAAGTGTTTCATGAGTGTTAGATATATATGACTGTTTCCATTTAAGTGTTAAACTTAGTTATTTTTAGAAGCATTAGTTTATTGCAGGTTTGTTGTAGAATTGCGTCATGTTACTAGAACCTTCTAAGTTTTCTCGTTGTTTTTCTTGAGTATTATTACATCTTAATATCTAGTAGTGTACAGAAAGTTCTAGGCCTGGGTTAGACTATAAATACGCATATAAAATGTAGTTCAAGTTAAGTTTGACAAAGCTAGTTAGGTAGAGAGATAGATCTAGGCTGCGTGATCATGAGTTTAGCCATAAGAGCGTATAGTGGCGATTTCTAAAGAGACTTATCTCAGATTGTATTGTAATAACAGAGTAAAGAAAAAATAATTTGTTTTGTCAATTGTGTTCTGAAGTAACTGAACCAGACTGTGTGGAATTTGACGAAAAAGAGATAATTAATTAAAGCACTGGATAATAACCAATAGTGTGACAAACATTTGAATATACGTTTGACTTGTTTTAATATATTATTTTAAAACAAGTGAATTGTGTGCTGTTTGTTTATCGTTGAAATTTATCGCCAACAAGTCACAGACACCTGTTATAAAAAAATCTGCCCATCCATACATATATATAAACCTGACAATGAAGCGACCCATATTTAAAACTGTACTTCTCTCAGTCTCTTCAATCTTTCCCAGCATACTTACAATATGATGAAGAAATAAAAAATAATTGGTATTTCAAATTTGAAGTTTAGGCAAATTTTTCTGATTACGTTCGTTTTGTGACCAGTAAAAATTACACTTATGTAATTAACTGTGCATTTTCAATGCATGTTTCAGTTTCGTTTGTACTTGTAAATAATCTTTTGTTATATGATATTCTACAATAGGTTGTTTATGAACACAGGTTTTTGTTCGTCACTCGAACAACATCACGGGTGTAACTAGAGGGATTCAAGTGGATCGGACGAAGCCCATTTTTCGCCGCGATTTTTTCTAGCAGAGAAGTATGGGCGCTACTTGATAATCTAGTCCAACTGTGTAGAAAAGGACATGAAATTGAATCATTGTGTTTTCTGTGTCTCTACAGTTAAGACAACGATACTGACTCTATGTTGGTGTTTCAGAATCCCCTTTTTGGATCCTTTTTCTAATATGCTTACTTTTATTACATGGAAAATCTTCTAGTGAACTGAAACAATGTAACAGTAAGTAATGTTACTAAATGACACGCAAAAGTGGTTTCTCATGGTGTTCAAACCCTGACAAAGAGAGTCATTTCACTCTGAAATTGTATTAAAGTATTCACTGAATTGAAAAGGCATTGTCAGTAGACAGTGTGGATGATTGGGTTATATTATAATAACTGTGGTAATTTTTCCAAATAACACAAAATTATAGAAATAAACCAGGTCACTAAAACCACACCAAGTATCTCCTGAAATCAGCATTTCAACTCCTATAACGATTACGTATCGTTATAATAACGAATGAACGGCATGTCTATATTAAAAATTCCCACTTTAAGGATAATGAAACATAAAAATTACAAAAAAGCAGCTATAAAAATACACACAATCTCCAGTCTATGCAATATACCGTTAAAGTACAAGTTTAGTTAAATATTTATTTCCGTTTTTCCATCGCCAATGAAGTATATACACATT